TTGATAGCCGGGCACCATCAGCTTTCTTCGCCACATTTACTTATGCACCCATTTGTCTTCAGTGATCCGTTTGACACCCCGTGATCACACAGGTTGATATGTTGTTCCATGTGGGCTTTGTTGTTAAGGTTCATTCTTAAAGGAATGAAAACACTGCCTCCTAACGCTATCAGGCTCAGGGAGTGGTTTCTGGGCGACTGTCCCATAGATGCAATGGAGGTAAGGTCACACTTCAGTAAGAGTCAGCATTATCTACTACACAAGATGTCAGCAGACAGGAAAATACACTTGGATGGCTAGATGCTCTGGGCTTTGAAGCATGGCGTGGCTAAAATTCCCCCATGAGTTCGTTGAGACCAAGTCCCTCCTGTTTCCTTCCAGAGGCAAGCCAGGGGTATGGTGGGACAGCTCACTTGTTAAAGATGCCACAAATCAAAGACACTTAATAAACCAGATTATATAGCTGTAATCTTGTTATCCATATCTACTTAAAGTTTAGTGTAAATGCTCCCATCCATTTGAAAGTACACTCTTGTAATAGTGTTCTAAAACAGTAGAATATCCTGAAGTCCTCTAGTTGATAAAAAAACATAATACGTATACCAAAAAGTAGAAGAAATAAATTGCCGATTCCACTTAGTTATGGTTAAGTAAGAGGAGACGAATTGGTTTGAACTCAGAGTGACGCTAAGTGTCACAGAACAAAAGCACTACTCAGTCCTGGGCCATCCTCACAAAGGCTATGTTTGAGCCATTGCTGCAACCACTGTGCCACTCCATCTTGTCACGGGTCCTCCTCTTTTCACTGCCTTTCTACTTTACCACGTACGACGTCCTCCAGGGTCTCATCTCTCCTGACAACAGGTCCAAAGTGTGTGAAGTAAAGGCTGCCCCTGGACGTGCGTGCGCACGTGCACACACTGAATAGGACGCATCCGTATGTGTACATATATAACTGGTATAAATGTCTCCAAAGGGAGAGTCCCTAAAGGGTGTGTGCGCACACAGGTGACTTCAAATGGTCAGGTGACCTGCCCCTCGCAGTCCCTGCAAGCACATCCTGGGCACATCCTCCTCCCTGATTCTCTCACTCCCATCCTCGCCTTTTTTCTCTTCCCTAATTAGTAATATTGGCCAACTTTCTAAAAGGTGTAATCCCAATAGAGATTTCTGCACAGCACCTTGGTCCAGCACTTATTTTCTTAGTATACCTACAGTACCTCTTGTTCATACTATTCACTGTGGATAAGGATTTCTGTAACAGTTATTTTTATATGCTACCTTTTCATGTCTTTTTCTTTTCTCTAATAATACTAAGTATTTGTGGGTAGGAGCCAAATCTTGACCTTCTTCAGATTCCCCACAATCCTCAGCAAAATACTTTGGCATGGAGAATAACATAATACACTAATGACATGGTTTATATAGCAGACTTAAAGTAGAAAACATAGGTTTGAAAGATAAGCTGTGCATATTTACCATTGTGAAAATTCCCTTGTCCTAAGGAAAACCATAAACCTATAAACTTTTCTCTAATTTAAAACATTTTGGACAATGTCTTTCATTTTTATTATGATTTTATGGAAGAGGGGGAATTTTTTTTGAGTGTCATTAGCTCGTAGGTTCTGCCTAGAAAAATAGATCCCAAAGCAACACGGGAGCAGGACAGACTTGAGGGAGAAATACAGCTGCGTTTCTCCTGGGAAGGAATCAGCGAGAGAATGTTAAGAGTCGGAAGTCCAATGTGAATGTGTCTCATGGCCTACGTTGATCCCTCATCTGAGGAAACGGCAGCCCACACACAACAAGGACGCAAAAATGGAGCATTTAGCGAGTGAGAGCAGCCCAAGGAGCACTGAGAGACCAATTGCCCCTCAAGAAGCCCCAGAGATCTGGAGCAGGGCCATGGACTGGCGATCTGCATTCTTTTAAGGCGATATCAAAAGAAAGGCACAGGGCCATTTATCCCACAAAATGCTTCTTGAAAACGGGCCCCTGGTTAAAGGAGTTAGAGACACTTTACATTGTACTGCTATTTGGAAGCATGGCAAGGCATAATAGCATTGTGGGACATCTTTGAAATTCACAATCCCACCAGCAATCTCCCTAAAACTTGTCATATGAGTTTCCAAACTCATGGGACTAAGGAATTTGTCTCAATTCCTTTGAGAAATATTGGCCCGTGTTTTAATAAGAAGCCAGAAGACTAGCTAAATGAAGGAAAACTGAAGTGGACCCAACGAGAGAATGTCATGAACCAAGGTACACAGGAAAAAAATCACAAGGGAAATTAGACAGCTTGCACAAGTATCTATGATTGGTAATAGACTGCTTTACAGTATGGGTACAGTTTTTCTAATGCCTTAAGAATAAAAGGGGATCTCATGATAAATACTAGGACTTCTGATACCATTTGAGTCTTAATTACAGATTCTTGAATATTTAAAAATATTTTCTTTGTAGGACACAACTGTTATACAAGAGATCTACTAAATGCTAAACTGGATTACTAGCATGAAAATTAAAATCAGAACTAAAACGTGCTCCCTGAGTGATTGGCAAAGGAATTGAGAAATACATACTTCTGAGACACTGTTAATTCCCTGATGGTCGGCTGCATTTACATATGTCTGCTGCCTCCAACATGTTCAAATGAAACATAGTTTAAGACTTTGGGGATGAGGGTGGGGAGGAATCTGTGAAAAGCAAGCTTAAGGGATAAAGATGGCATCACAACCCTGCTGTGGGCCCTATTCCTTCTTCATCCGCTCTCTGAAAGTGGGCCAAAGAACAGCCATAGAAACACTGCTTTCTCTCAAAGCTGAGTCTTGCTCTTCCATATTATCCAGAAGGGTAGAAAACAGGAATCAATTGGCAATCTACCGGGAGCGGATTTTTATTGATCAAAACTCTTCACTCTGCAATTATTTATGACGCCAGACTGAAAATCCCTTAAAACAAACCAAAACAACAAAAAGTGGCACAGTTTGGGAGGATTCTACTAAATATACCAGTGGGCTCCAAAAGCTTGTAGAGAAGTGGAGTGGAAAGACAAGCTTTTTTAGGAGCCCTGGTGATGCGACAATTAAAAACACGGCCCTGTACGAAGGCCGGTGATTTCTTCCCGTAAAGATTACAGCTCAGATTTTCCCATGGGGCTGCACTCGGCCAAGTGTGAGCTGAAATCAACTCCACGGCACTTAAAAAAATTCAGCAAAAAGATTTCAAGGAGATAGATGTTCTAGCAATTGTCTGATTTCTTATTTGGCAAAAGTTATTTTAATCAATTATTTTATTGATTAAATCCACAACATTTACTAAGCATTTCTGCACTCACACAAAACTGTACAACTTACATTTCTGTTGAAAGTTTAGGGAATGTTGGGAAACGATGTACAAATGCGCTTTACACAATTGATGTGTGTATGGATTGGGATAACAGTTGTATGAGCCCCTAATAAAATGTTAAAAAAGAGAAAAAATAAAATAAAAACCACCTTGACAGAAAAAAAAGAAAGAAAGTTTAGGGAATGTACTGTCTCCTAATACATGTTGAATTTGATTCACTTGATCAACTTTTCACCTTCTCAAAGCTCTTCCCTCCATCTTTAAATGCTCCTTTGCATAGCATCGCTTACTGGTGCGTGAATGTGCTTTCTCTGATGCTAGTCAGCATTTGTGTGTGTGGAGATCAGTGCGGTATATTTTGTGTAAGTTGTCTTTTTATGTCATTTGTCTTATTTCTCTATTAGAGTGTTGACCTTGTTAATTTGGAGAACACCTTTCTACATGAAAGATATTAAGTATGTAACACATGTTACTTCTGTCCCCTCAAGTTAACTTGCTCTCCTTGGAAGATACTGCTGAAGCTTAAAAGCTACACATTTTGATAGTGGTTAATAGGGGCCAAGTGTTATTTCCCTTCCTTAGCTGATTTCTCCCTCAAATAATTGCTATCAGTAGAACAACAAGAACAAAACCAAAACGAAGTCAATGCCAACTCACAGCGACTGTATGAGGGCAAGGCAGAACGGCCTGTGGATTGCTGAGATGGTGACTCTGTATCAGAGTAGAAATCCCCGTCTTTCTGCCAATTGGTAGAAGAAATTAAAATTATTTTAATTTTCATTATTAAGTGAATAGGCAGGAAACAGAACTCATTCATAAATAATTAAAAATTATTAAGATCAAACTGGTCGAGAAAAGTGACTTATATTTAAAAATGACTACATAACCTTTGTACAGCAAGGTAGTGGAGACTTAAAAAAATAGAATGCGCTCATACATGTCCCTAAAATTATTTTACAAAACTTGGAAGAAAATATACTAAAGTCTTATTTTTTTTTAAAGCATTATCACTTTTTCTGATTTGTAAAAAAAAAAAAAAAGTTCTGTTTCAAAAGCAGCAAGCTGGCTTACACGTAAGAGTCAAAAGCAGAGAGGAAGACCCTGGAGACGCGATGAGCTCTAAACAGCATGCCCATGTGAATGTTTTCTTTTTTGCTAGTCAAGGTTAACTTTTGAGGGTACCAAGAGAAACCCAGAGATGAAAATATAGCTACCTCTATAATTAATTCTCAGGATCTTAACCAAATCTCATACCATAGACAAACAGCTCAACTTCTGAAGAGCCTTGTTTCTAAAAAACCGCCATCAAGTTGATTCCAACTCACAGTGACCCTCTAAGGACAAGGTGAAACTGCTCCTGTGAGTTTTTGAGACTGTAACTCTTCACCGTAGCAGAAAGCCTCATCTTTCTCTCGTGGAACAGCTGGTGGTTTTGAACTGCTGACCTGGTGGACAAGAAGCTCAACGTGTAACCACTAAAGCACCAGGGTTCCATTTCATGCTTGTTGGTAGATAGATACCAGAGTCGAATCAACTCATAGTGACCCTGTGTGTAACAAGGAAACACTGCCTGGCCCTATGCCATCCTCACAATTGTTCTTAAGAATAAGCCTGTTCATGCTTAGGTTTACAAAATTTAGTGGGGAGCACTAGCCCACTGCAAGAAAAAAGAAAGAAAACCTACCCGAACCCCTAAAGAAAACTTAGAAATAATAGACACCTTGATAGGTTTTCTAAAAGTCATATGCCCTTAAGTCATAGTGGCCTTGTAGGGCAAGGTCCAACTGACTCTGCATTTCTAACACTTTCAATCTGTACATGAGTAAACAACCTCACCTCTCCCTGGTGGAGCAGCTGGTGGGTTTGAACTGCTGACCTTGTGGTTAGCAGCTCAGTGCGTACGTAGCTCATGACAGCACCAGGACTCCCTGACAGGTCTTAGGATCTACAAAATGGTACTTTATCAGGCTCGAGACTTTTGGAAGGTCTTTGACCAAAAAAGATTTTCTATAAATTCACAGCTATTCAATTGTAGAGAAGTCCAGGACTGGATGGTAGCTCGAAGGAGATTACGGATACTGGCAGCACTTTACAAGTGCAACCATGAGTTGTTGGCCCCACCTACGTTCCCTCCTTTCCAAACAGCCTAGAAACAGGATCACCCGTTACTTTTTATTTTTTTAATTGGGGACTCACACAACTCTTATCACAATCCATACATACATACAAATGTCAAGCACATTTGTACATTTTGTTGCCATTATCATTCTCAAAACATTTGCTTTCTGCTTGAGTCCTTGGTATCAGCTCATTTTTTCCCTCCCTACCCACTCCCCTCTCCCTCATGAACCCTTGATAATTTATAAATTATTATCTTGTCATATCGTACACTGTCCGACGTTTCCCTTCACCCACTTTTCTGTTGTCCATCCCCCAGGGAGGAGGTTCTATGTAGATCCTTGTAATCGGTTCCCCCTTTCCACCCCACCCTCCCTCCACTCTCTTGTGATCATCCGTTACTTATGGAAACCCGAGATCATCAATTTGGTTTGGTTTTTAGTCATAATAGCCAAAAAAAGGAAATAATCCAAATGCCTATCAACTGATGACTGGATTAATGTAGATTTTTTAATATTATTTACCTCTAACAAGGGAGAACGTAAAGATACATGTTACAACATCTATGAATCTTGAAAACACTGTGTTAACTAAGGCCACACAATGTGCGATTCCATCTCTAGAAGGAACCCTAGTGGCATTTGGAACCCTTAAAGCATTTGGCTGCCCACTGAAAAGTTGGCCGAAGAACGCTTTAGTAACATCACATTGCAAAAGAAAGACAAGACAGCTGGCTCCTATATTCACTGTCCTGGAAACTCCAGGGGCAGGTCTACTTTGTGCTGTTGGGTTGGTGAATTAGACTGGGTTTGGCTTTTCTGTCTACAGGCAGACAGACCTTGTTTAATTGTACTTTGCTTTATTGCACTTGGCAGATACTGTGGGGGTTTTTTTTTCCCCCCATATGGATGGCTTGTGGCAGTCTTACAAGCAGCAAATCTTTCGAAGCCACTTGTCCAGAAGCACGTACATACTTCCTGCCTTTGGGTCATTTTGGCAATTCTCACAATATTCCAAACTTTTCCATAATGCTATTACACACTTAATAGACTACAGCATATACAGGTTATATGCACTGGAAAACCAAAACATTTGTGTGACTTCCTTGATAGTGATGGTCTAAAACGGTGGAGGGGGAGGGGGAGAATCACCTGATACTAGACTCTAACATCAGCGAGGAATGGCTGGTACCCAGCAGATAATTCAGAGGCGTGATACGTGACTTCCAGTGTGGAAGGTTTCACTCAGTGACGTCAACGCGGGTCCTCGACAGGCAGAAGGGCTGCTGTGGGAATGAGCAGGTCACTGGGGGCATGGACTGACTACTTTGGAGCCAGCAGGGTTTAGTTGGCGATAAGGTTAGGGTATAGCACAATCTATGGGGCACTATTTGTAAACTTTATTGGGAGGACCAAATCTATTCCCAAACCAAGACACAGAAAGACCATTTTCCATTTCGCAAGGGTCTCTTAGAAACAAAAAACTGCTGCTAAGTAACGAGCCAAAGTAGTCTTTCAAAGTTAAATTAAAATCACACTCGGTTCATACCGCTAAATACCGAGTTCACGCTACACTTTAAAACTACAATAATCGCCCTTAAAAAGTTTTCTTTAAAAATCTGTTTGCTTTTCTTTTGTGTGTGGCAACTAAAAACTACAAGGGCAACGTGGCTCTGCACAGAAGTGCCCAGGTGGGTGTCCGGGATGGAACGTACCTCGAAGTCACCCCAGGGAAGAGGCGCTGCCCAGGCATCCCGGGGACTGCATTTTCGCGGGAAAGCCTGGGGCTGGCGCTCCCGCCCGGAGGTTGGTTGAGCACGCGTGGTGGCGCCGAAGCTCGCCGCGCTCCCAGCCGGGCCCGCTGCGGGTTTCCATAGCTAACGTCAACTCAGGCGGGTGCTGCTCGGCGAGGAGCACGCACGCGCAGCACGCAGGCGCAGCACGCACGCGCACGCAGCACACACGCAGCACGCACGCGCACCCAGCTGCGGCCTTTCGCCCAGCCCCTCGGCCCGCGCTCGCTCCCGAGGCGCCGCCTCTGGAGGCGCCCGACTTCATCAGTCGGCCTTCAGAGCCGCTGCTCGTTCGCCGGGCCTGCGCTGCTCCGGGCCACAGCTTTAGAAATGGCTAAGGCTCCTGTCCACCACGAGTTGTGCCGCCCCTGACCTTTCACCCTGCCACGCCCATACGCAAGAGCGTCGTTACCTTGGTGATGCGGTATTTCTGCTGAAGGTGGGCGGGGGTGCGCGGGCAGTGAGGCCACAGCTGGCCAACGCGCAGCCGCACCGTTTTGGGTGCGTTGGAAAACAAAACAAAACCCAACAGCCCCCAAGACAGACTCACTACCATCAAGTTGATGCGGACTGATGCCCTTTTGGATGGCAATGCAAGGGCCGCTAGGGCCCTTCAGTTACCTTGAGTCAAATTGACCCCCCTTTCTGTCCTGTAATAAGGTTCCAGCTGCCTAGGGCCCCAGGCCTCCTGGACGTCCATACTCTGGCGTGGCCGCTGCCACGGGACACAGACAGTAGGGCTTCATACTCCCTATTCCACTTGGAAGATGTGGCCGTGCATGTGTTCAGTGACACCTTTTAGTTGCATTGCTCTTGCCTCGAGTGGATTTGTGGTTGCATTTTTAAAGACGAGGAACCGAAATGCTGATTATTGAGACACATTACTAGATATCTTTCTTTTTGGTGTTATTTTTTTTTTTTTTAAAGTACGGCGTCATCTTTGTGTTCCCATCCCGCCCCCAAAGTCTCAGCAGATTGTTACCAGTATCCCCATATTCTGGATACCTTCCAGAGTACTCGCTGGAAATTCTCCAGGGTTTTAGCACTGATTGGTCTCAAGTGATTTAGAAGTTCCTGTCAGACAACATTGAGACCGATGTTGAGGTATTAGGTTTCCCCCAAAGAGACTGATGTCCTAGCAATAATGTGCACTCAGGAGTCCTAGTGGCTTGATGATGGTCTCATTTGGCTCTCCTCCCTCCAAATCCATAAATTCTGCCCCTCCTTTTCTTTCTTGGCTAGAAATTACTGCTTAGTTCTTAATAATTGAAATTTTCAGGCTACAGTGGAAAAAAACACCTTGTGTTAATTTTAAAAGAAGACGAAAGTAAAAACTATCCAAAGAGTTTGTTGAAATAATGAGAGAGAAAACCCTGTGTAGTAGCAAAGCTTGTCTTCAAAGACACAATTTTTTGCAGATAGAACCTTTTATTATTATATGCTTACCTTTTGACACAGGAAGGGCAAATGGACTCATGGCCAGTGCTTAATGTTCTTACTCTTATGGAGAGGACTTACCCTCAGTCATCAAGCGTACTGCATTAAATAGTTTTGAAATGTCTATCATCGTGAGGAAGACACAAGGCTGGACAGCATCTGATTTAGTTATACCTGGAATGGCATGAGTCAGAATGAACTCCCGGCCGTAACAATAACTACTGCTGGGAAATTGGAGGACACTGTGGGCTTTGGTGTCAGGAAACCTGGGTTGGGATGTACACCAATGCTCATTATTTGTGTGATCTTGGGGCTAACCTAATTTTATTCAGATGATGGCTTAATCTCCATATCTTATAAAATAGGGCTAACAATAGGACTTGCCCCACAGAGCATTGTGCAGATTTCCGTAAATGAAATAACTATACATGGCTTAGCACAGTAATTGGCATAGTGCTTAGTCACAATCTTATGTTATCATCCTGAATTCTGTATAACCAACCAAGATGAACATTTTTGTTGTTCAAATACATGCTGCAGAGATATTATATGTTCCTATCTTCTGTTTTAATTTTTATTGTGATTTTGGTGAAAGTTTCAAGAGCCAAGTGACTTTCCGTTCAACCATTGATGCACATTGTTTTGTCACACTTATTGCAAGACCCCTATGTGACAGTCTTCTCACTTAACTGTACAGGTGTGTACAGTTTCCATTCTTTTCTATCATTTCTTGCCTTCTGAACTTTTTCCCTGGGCAAATGCTGCCCTTTAATCTTCTATGGTTGATTATGCTAAAGGGTGGTACCTCCCTATATGTGTGTCTGTCATTAGCTAGAGTTAGAAAAATCAAAAAGGAAACATGATCAGCATATCTTAAACTCAAAGAACTCAAGAAAAAATTCAAATACTGAAAGATTATATATGTAAAATATTTAAAGATGCAGGCAGCATCCAAAAAATATGGAAGTTGTGTTAGGCTAGGTTGTCTAGAGACACAAAACCGGCGATACTCGTCTATGTACAAGAATGAACTTTTTATTAAGAAACAATTTTCCATCAAGAAGTTGTCCCAGCCCAGTTCGCCCCAAGTCTATAGGTCCAGTGCTAGCTGGGGCCTTCTTCAGACTCCTGCAACTGCAGGCTGCCGATGCAGAAAGGTGCAGTGGGAAGCAGGGAGATTTGGAGTCATGTGGATCCTAGATCTTCAGAAGCGTGGCGAGGCACTGACAGCTCTCTGGGTTGGAGGTCCACAAGAGGCTGCCCTGGAGTCAGACACATATGGAGTCTCATCAAGGAGGAAGGCAAAGTGGCAGAAAGAAGTTGCCTCTGTTCAATCTTGCTCTTATACAAAAGGCCACACCCGGAGGAGGTTTCAGTCAAGCTCCCAGTTGATTGACAGGTTGAACTCTGCCTCCTAGCAAGGAGACTCTAGTTCAGTGATTCTCAACCTGTGGGTTGCGACCCCTTTGGAGGTTGAATGACCCTTTCACAGGGGTCGCCCGATTCATCACAGTAGCAAAATGACAGTGATGAAGTAACAGTAAAAATAATTTTATGGTTGTGTGTGTGTGGGGGGGTGTAGTCACTACAACATGAGGAATTGTATTAAAGGGTTGCAGCATTAGGAAGGTTGAGAACCACTGCTCTAGTTGACATAATATCTAACTACAGTAGAAAGAATACACAGAGTCATTGTGCCAAGAAGAACTAGTAGATATGCCACCATTTCAGGTGATAGCATATGAGCAATGGTACTGAAGAAAAATGTACCAATGGTACTGAAGGAAAAAGTTCGCTAAAATCCAGTCTCCAGAATTGATGGAACACCAATAGAAATGTTTCAACAAGCTGATGAAGCACTGCAAGCACTTACTCATCTCTGCCAGGAAATCTGGAAGACAGCTATTTAGCCAACTGATTGGAAGAGGTCCTTCTTTGTATCCATTGCAAAGAAAGGTGACCCCACAGAACGCTCAAGTTATAGAACAATATTATTAATACCACATGCAAATAACTTTTTGCTGAAGATCATCCTATAAGAGTCTCAGCAGTACATTGAGATTCAGAAGAGGATATGGAACAAGGGATATCATTACTGATGTCAGATGGATCTTGGTTCAAAGTAGAGAATGCCAGAAAGATGTCTACTTGTGTCTTATTGACTATGAAAAGGAATTTGACTGTGTGGATCATAAACAATGAGTATTCCTTGAGAAAAATGGGAATTCAAGAACACTTTGTTGTGCTTCTGTGAAACTTGTACATGGGTCAAGAGGCAGTTGCTTGAACAGAACAAAGGAATACTGCATGGTTTAACAAAAGGAAAGGTGTGTATCAGTGTTGTATCCTCTTACCATACTCAGAGAAGCTGGATTATATGAAGAATAATATGACATCAGGATTGGAGGAAGGCTTATTAATAACCTAAGATATGCAGATGATACAACTTTGCTTGTGGAAAGTGAGGAGGGTATTAAAGACTTGTGGATGAAGATAAAAAATTCCAGCCTTCAGTAAGGATTTCAACCCAATGTCAAGAAAACCAAACTACAACTCAACCAATAGGCAACATCATGATAAATGGGGAAGAGATTGAAGTTGTCAAGCATCTTGTCTTGCATGGATCTACATCAATGCTCATGGAAGCCGTAGTCAGATTCAAAGACGCATTTCACTGGGTAAATCTGCTGCACAAAACCTCTTTTAAAGTGCTGAGAAGTAAGGATGTTACTTTGAAGACTAAGGTGTGCCTGACCCAAGCCATGGTATTTTCAATTGCCTCATATGCATGTAAAAGTTGGACATTAAATAGGGCAAATTGAAGAAGAACCAATGCGTTTGAATTACAGTGCTGGCAAAGAACATTGCAAGTGTGGATTTCAAAAAGAACAAATGTGTCTTGGGAGTCCAGTTAGAGTGCAGAGGCAAGAATGGGGAGACTTCGTCATCGTACATACTTTTGACATGCTATAAGGAGAGAACAGTCCTGGAAAAGGACATTGTGTTAGTCTGGGTTGACTAGAGAAACAAAGCCAGAGACATTCATATGTGTATAAGGAAGGGCTTTATATACAAGAGCAATTGAATATTAAGAAAACATCCCAGCCCAGTCCAGATCAAGTCCATAAAGCTCATATTAGCCCATATGTCCAATACCAATCTATAAATTCCTCTTCAGATTCACGTAACACATGAATTGATGCTGAATGCAGGAAGATGAGACACCAGTGGGTGGAAAGTCTTGTGGATCCAGTGGTAGTGGAAGCATCTCAGTGCTGGCAGGGTCATCTCCATGTGGCTCCCTCAGCTCCCAGGCTCTAGTGTAGCTCCATGTGTCTTGTACACAAGCATGTCTCCCAGAGAGTGAGCCTGTGTCCTGCCTCCAGTGAGCTATTTATCTCCTTATTGCTTCCAAATGAGGTCATCACGCTGCGACCTGATTGACAGGCTAACTTCCACCCCTTCACTCTTAAGTCTCAAATTGACAACAGCTTATGTAACTACCACAGAGATCATGGTTGGTAAAGTGGAGGGTCAGCAAAAGAGCAGAAAAGTCTCAATGAGGTGGATTGACAGAGTG